GGTAAATTTTTTTGTTCTTTTGAGTTAATTCATTTATTACAACTTACAAGTAACATATGATATTTTTTTACGGATTTCGGTACATGTTCATAAACACATTTTTTTACAGTTTTTGTGATGAAGTTCTTTTTGAATCTATCTAACATTTTCAATTGGTTGAGTTTGTCGGATATCCATCGAAAATCCCTGACAAATTTTTATCTTTTTTAAAAATAAATATTTTGAATTTTCTGTAGGAAATCTTATCTTTGATTCTTTTAAACAATTTTTTTTAAAATACTGCATTTGTTTTTTTAATTTTATTTTGTGGATAAAAATGAATAGAAAGAGAATCTTTACATATATAATCAAACACTTGTCTTTGATTATATATATCAAAGTTGACTATTTACGTTCCTTAAGTTAGACAATTTTTTAGGTTACACTATACAATGGATTAATGATTGATCATTTTTAGTTAGAATAAAAATAAAATTAAAGAAAAAAAGATCTAATTTTTTTACGGCATACTGATATTTGTTTCTTAAGTTGTGTATTTTCTTATAGAACATTAGAAAACGAGGATGAATTTTGTTTGATAGTTAATATTTTTTTGCAGTTGTCCCAAAATGAGAATTCAGGAATTTTAACCTCTTTCTGTAAGGAGACTTTCAGTATCCAAAATTAAATTAAATAAAGTTCTTCACTAATAACTCAGTAGCCATGCAAATAATTAAATAGGTCAGACTCAAAATGTATTTTCTTGCCCAAACACGCAATATGGCCGCTGAAGATATACACGCAAGGATAAGAGCGCAAGAAGAGTATCATGGTACTTCATTTTAATTTTAATTTATTCATGGTAATCCAAGTGTATGTAATTTAATCTCTGATTTCTTAATTTTTGGAATGTATGAGCAATCTACTCCTATATATAAATTCCTATGTGTATTGATTAAAGGAAAACAAAAACTTCCAAAGAGTACTATACTAGCTAAGTTAGATAAGGATTATAGGCAGCCATAATGGGAATGGTCAGTTTCGCGGTAGCTCTGATGGTGACACTGGTGATAATGTCTCACTGCATCTATGGAAGAGAGTTCTATGATGACCAGGAAATCAAAGTACAACAACTTTTGAAGCAACTCAACAAGCCTGCTCTTAAATCCATTAAGGTACATTACACAAAATCCATAAGCATAAACTCCATGCTTTGAATGCACACAAAACATTTTGAGATTAGTTTTCCGGTTTAATCATTCTTTTTTTACAGAGTGAAGATGGAGATATAATAGATTGTGTTCCATTAACTAGTCAACCAGCTTTTGACAATCCACTACTTAAAAACCATACCATCCAGGTTAGCTTTCATTTTCAGTCTCTCATTTGTTTATTTATGATTGTGTTGAATCGCTACAACGAAATTATTTTTTTGCGCTAGATGAGACCAAGTTTTATACCAGAAAGTGATTCTACGTACACCAATAAAAAGGCAGAGGCTATAACTCAGGTGTGGCACAAGAATGGAGAGTACTGCCCGGAAAACACTATTCCGATAAGAAGAACAAAGAAAGAAGATATCTTACGAGCGGAATCCATTGAGAGGTTTGGTAAAAAGACTCCACCAGGCATCCTTGAAGTTACAGCCTCAGGTCACCATGAGGTGCACCTTTTATGCATTGACCTTTGTTTAGTTACTCTCGTGTGGTTTTGTTTTCACCTTTTATATATTGGACTGGATTTTTTTTTATGTATGGGATTCCCTACGTCTAGATAGATATATTTCTAATCTGTTTCCGTTTCGAAACTAATAGAAAATATATGAGTATTTGTAAAAGCTTGGACTTTCAACATGATATAATTCTAATATGGTTTTCCTTTTCTTGGAGCCGGTTTAGTACGCGATAGCGGGTGCGACGGGTGGAAAGTTTTTTGGAACAAAAGCCTCGATAAATATATGGAAACCATCTGTAGCTCACAATGATGAATTTAGCTTGGCTCAGACTTGGCTTGTATCTGGAGATGGCGGTAGTCTTAACACCATTGAAGCTGGTTGGCAGGTCTTGTGCTTATTTAGTTGTTCATTCTTAACTAAACTTTCCTGATCATATGTAAAGTTCTTAATTGACACTACTTTTGTTTGCCTTAATTTTTAGGTTTATCCACAAATCTATGGTCATAATAATCCGACATTATTTATTTACTGGACGGTAAGTTCCCATTTTACATCCCAAACATACTAAAAAATAAAAATGTAATCATTAATTGAAATATTTTAGAGGATTCACAATCCTCAA